GCCAATCGCGTCACATTGCCGTAAAAGTAACCGTGACTGAATTAAAGCGCGCAGGTTTCCAAATGTTCTTGCATTTGTGTATAGTCAATTAAGATTACTCAATCGATCGTCCCTCTTTCTCAGCATGAGACAGGAGTCCTCCCCTCTTGCGCTCTCCTGCTTGTGCTTCCTCCCAGGATCCCATTTCCCCGGTGAACCTAGTTTAAAGCCCTCCTCACTAGGCGAAGATGCTCTTCCCTCTCTTTGTTAGGTGGAGCCCGTCTCTGCCTAGCACTCCTTCTTCTTGGAACACTATCCCATGGTCGAAGAATCCAAAGCCTTCTCTCCGACACCACCTGCGTAGCCATTCGTTGACTTCCACGATTCGACGGTCTCTACCCCGGCCTTTTCCTTGCACAGGGAGGATGGACGAGAACACCACTTGCGCCTCAAACTCCTTTATCCTTCTTCCCAGAGCCACGTAGTCTGCAGTGATCCGCTCAAGGTCATTCTTGGCAGTATCATTGGTACTCCATCTTAAGAGTCCTGCTGCTGCTGCAGATGGCCATGGAAACTCCCAACAGCTAAACAGGAACTAAGGTGTTGGGAGAGGGAATTCTGAGTGTGAGAGGTGGCGAATACTAGGAGTAGGAGACATTGGTGCTTGTATAATGTCTGAGGATGGACCAGAGTGCTGTACAACGTATAATACAGCGGGAGGAGAAATAGGTTTAGCCCTGCTGTTTGAAGTGTCTGAAGGAAAGTGACATGTAGTCCAAGCAAGTAGTAATGGAGTACAATAAAAGAGGCATTTTAGTTACTTCTCTCGCACTATATATTTGAATTCTGTGGTTTCCCCAGACATTTCACAAACGTGGATACATAATTGGTTAAACAACTGCACACAGAGTAGCTATTAATGGAATGACATCAGATTGGAAAGGGGTCTCTCTACAGGGGTCTATTCTGGGTCTGGTGTTATTTAACTCTTTATTAATGACCTGGATGTAGGAATAGAGAGCATACTGATCAAATTTGCAAATGACACAAAGCTGGGGATGGGGGGTGTTTTCAAACACTTTGGAGGATAAAACTAAAATTCAAAGAGAGCTTGATAAATTGGAGAACTGGGCTATAGACAACAAAATGAAATTCAACAAAGACAAATGTAAGGTGCTAAACGTAGGGAGGAAAAACCAAATGCACAAATACAGAATGGGGGATAACTGGCTTGGCAGCAGTGCTGCTGCAAAGGAGCTGGGAGTTGTGGTGCATCACAGCCTCAACATGAGTCAACTATGCGATGCTATTTAAAAAAAAGCAAATGCTATTTTGGGTTGCGTTAACAGAGGTAGAGCATGCAATAGTACTGCTCTACTTGGCGCTGGTTAGGCTTCAGCCGGAGTACTGTGTCCAATTTGGTCACCACTATATACAAAGGATGTAGAGATGAAAGACAAGATCATCAAAGGGATGGAATGCGAGCCATATGAACAAAGGCTGAAGGAACTGGATATGTTTAGTTTGAAAAAGAGGAGGTTAAGGAGGGGGACATGATATCGGTCTTCAAATACTTGAAATGCTGCCATAAGAAAGATGGAGAAAAAAAAATGTTCTCTTTTGCCACAGAGGGCAGGACAAGATGCAATAGCAGATTTAGGAACTTTTTCCTGAGATGTAATCTAACTGTAAGAGCAGTAGGACAATGGAACAGACTGCCTAGGGAGGTTATGGAAGCTCCTTCACTGGAGGTTTTCAAAAAGAGGCTGGATAGCCAGCTGTCTTGGAAGGCTTAGACATAACAAATCCTGCATCTTGGCAGGGGTTAGACTAGACAACCCTTGTGGTCCCTTCTTACCCTATGATTCTATGTCAAGTCCTGTCCAGGTGTTTTCCAGCACGGTAATCCTGCCAGGCAGGGCAGTGGGATGAGTAAATGTTTGGCAAGGAACTTTTCTGCTGTTACAAAAAAGAGCACTAGAGACACCCCCAGCTAGCATATCCTACTAGCTCCAGCATTTGTATTAGCCAGGTGGACACACCTTCTATCTGACAGACCATGCACCCTTGGGACTTGATAGAGCAACAATTAAGTATTTTTCAAACTTGATACTTAGACATAAATTCATCTATGCTGGAAGAGTTAAAATTTTGAAGTCATATTCACAAAAATATCAATTTATCTTTCATTAATGTTAGCAGTGCAAAGAGTGTTCAGCTGTTCTCAAGAACATAATTCACAGCTTACCTGTTATAAGGAAATCACAAAAACAAGACTTCAGATCTTTAGAGATCTTTCAGCATAAGTGCTTTACAAATGGTGAATTTAGCTTCAACCCACAATCTTTTACAGATGAAGCGCCTGAGGCAGAGGCTAAGATAATCAGTTGTTCAGAATGCTAGGGGCTACAGACATCTACAGTCAAATAAAAGTTTGGAGTAGGTTGGACATTTTCAAAATTCACATTTTAGATAATTTTTCATCAAGAATGAGATCTTTGTAATTATCACAAAAAAGTTCTGTTTTTCAACCAGTCCTAGGTTAGCTAATGTTAAATGCTGTGAACACCCAAAACCACATATAAGTAGCTAAGCTATTTATTACTCTTACATTTGAAATTTAAGATTAGGGTTGATATTTCCTGTTCTGTTTTGGAATTCCTAAAAAGGGACCTCTTGCTGTATCTAGGGTGCCAAGCAGTAGCTCTAGGTTTTTGAAGGACCTAAAATCCCCACCACTCCTTTAGCTGAACTGCCATTAGCTTAAAAAAAAAAACCACAACCATAACTCCACTCCACACCTGTTAATGAGAACATGATGCTTGTCTTCCTAGATCCTCCTTTACGTAAGGGTGGCTAGTTCTTTCCCCACACTCTGAAAACAGAAGGACTGGACAAGAAAAATAAATTGACCAGTAGCTTAAGTTGTATGATTTTTACTTTATAAACGTGGGCTTTCATTTTGCAAATACAGTATTCTGCTAATATAATGGAGTGAAGCAAATTACGCAATGCATATCAAACTATAACTGCAAATATTTTAATTGCAAATCCCTTGTACTTAATGCTTGATATGTTCTTCTCTATAAAGGGCAAAAATATGTTGGCTGTCCTGTTGATACAGATACCAGATGTCCTGTCAAACTAGAGTTTAATAAGAAATTGCACAGTGATCTAAGGAACCTTGCAGAGGACCCTCAGCTGATGCAAGCTGTCATAGCTCCACTGTGGCTATGACAACCTACACCAGCTCAGGATCTGCCTCCTTGTGTTGTGGCTTCATCTACAACCCTCGTCTAATTCCTGATTACTACATGTGAGGACAACAGACAAAGCCATCTGACCAAGACAGCCTGGCTCAAAGACATTATCCTACATATACTGAAGTCTATGAAATACAGAATATCTTATGTAGGATGGTGGAAAAATGCCAGTTAACATTTTCCATTGCTACAAACTGTTTTCCAACTAGGATGCATTTTAGACCTCACTGGACCTCATTCTCTTCATTTATATTGGATTTACATCAGCATAAATGACCACAGTGAAGTTATTCCCGATCAACATCTGTTGAGAAGAGGATTAGGACCACTCCATTGTGCTTAAAAATGTCAAAGAAGTTGCCACCTAAGTAACGAGAAGGATCCCCTGGTGGTAGCTTGACAATTGGCTGAACAGTAATAGCAAATATTCATGAAGTAAAGTAAGTGTTTAAAAGTATAGGAAGTGTTTGAAAACAAAACAAAATCTATAAAAGCAGTACACATTATTACACAACATGTTCTATTCCAGTGTTTTACACATAGATTTATATCAAAAATAATTAAGAAATGGGAAAATACACAATAGATTAATAAAAATCAGTACCAAGACTATTCACTGTCAACCCATTACCTCTAACAGAATATTCATGTCCATTTAAAATAAAATTTTAGTCATCCCAGAAGCAAACCATGTGCTTCATCTTAAAACCATAGTCTGATTAAACAGAAATCAACTTAGTTAATTTTTAACTCCACAAAAACATTTCCCTTACAACTTCTTCATTTAAAAAAGTTCTTTGTAAAAGACCACCATCTAGACCAATGAACAATCTATTGAATGCCAATCACAGCCACTTGCAGTTCTGTGTCACCCAGTATATGTTGCACTTTCTAACGTATACTATTTCCTGCAAAAATAACTTTATGGCAACCAGTAAATTCACTCCCATTGACTCCCTAAATGAAAGGCAGTGGAACACTTAGTCAGTTCCAAAACAAGTTAAATAAAGTTTGCATTACTTTCATGTTAATTAAGAAGTCTGTGTAAAACAAAGTTTCTTTTGAAACTATATGATCTAAAAGTGTGATGTGTGTGTTCAGGAAAATTGGGTCAAGATGTAAAAATTGTTTTCCGGAAAGTCAAAATTATGACTAGCATTTTTCTTAAATGCTGTAAAAGATACCAGGGAAATATAGTCATTAAAATGTAGCTTATTCTTTACATAAAGGCAATTATGCCTTTGGATCAACAAATTAAAAACAATTGTAATAATGTTTGTTAACAGAGGAAAAATTAGTGAGTTTTTCTAATCTCCAGCAGATTATTCAATCTTTAAAAACTGATATTTTTGAAAGGACAAATAGATGCATGATCAATAGACTAATCCGAGTTTGCATAACATTTAAATAAAAGTTCCATCTAGCAAACAATGCCAAGAAGAGATAATAAGAGAACAAGTGCTGCGTATGGGACCTGTATACTCTTACAGCGTTGCCTATGCTAACAAAATAGAATAGTTGTAGTTATCTCTAGAGATCAAAAAGTCAACATTCGAGATGTAGCATGACAGCATATGGCAGACTGCAGCTTGACGACATAAGGAAGTGTCCTTTTTAGTGCTAGTCTTGTATAGCTTCTTTCAGTTCCTGTGTCTTTTCATCGCTGTCAAGTTTCAGTGGGTTAGTGGATGGTGAGCCCTCAAGTAGTTCAGTTTCTTGAGCATCAGAATCTGTTCTTAGTGTTGCCTTTGAAGAAATATCATTAGGAAGAGCAAAGGATGGTAAAGGGGACAGTGAAGGCATTAAATGGTCCAACTGTGACTGTGTAACTGAGCCCTCAGCGTATGCGGTTAGATCTGCAGGGACTGAAGCCATGGCATGCTCTGAGAAAATAAAAGAGTAAGTTAAACAAACAAACCAAAACTTGCCAGACACCTACCAGAGACTAATTTTGTGGCTGTATTTCTATAGCATAAGCTTGGATGCAATGCAGCTGACGGACTACTCTAATACACAGCAATACAGTGGGTTCCTGATCTATGACTAGAACTCCTTGGCACTAAGGTAATACACAAGGATTACTTAATGATTCTTCTAAAGCTTTATCCTCATCCTTCAGAAATGAACAGCCTTTTGTGTTCAGATGCTGAGCACCCACAACTCCCATTAAAGACAAGTGAGCTGTGAATGCTCAGTACTTCTAAAATTCAGATCCCCAGAAGGTACATCTCAGTATTTTAAGATTAGAAGACATGCTACATTAAACATTTTAGTTTACTTTTTTGACATTTCAGCCTCATTACAAAGGGACCAATTTTGTTTTTATAAGCTAAAATCTTGTCTTTATTCTTGGACTGTCCCCCCCCCTTTAAAAAAGGGAACAGTGTCTTCCTACAAAGAATTTTTCCTTTAAAATAGAAAGTGAAATACTCTTGAATATTTTTAGTTACATTTTCATTCATTATAAATAGACAGCAGCCTTGCTAAAACAACAGTTTTCCAGCTCTGTGAAAATTGGGCTGTTTCGTATGAAAATCTCCTTGCAGCACAGATTTACAAGATCTGTATGTTAATTCTCGCACTGGGAGGACCTAAGCGCTTGAATGGGAATCCTCACATTTACCACACTCTGAAAATAAATGTCTCAAAGAGCAAACCATATTCCTGATATTAAAAAAAACAAAAACTATGACATTGGCCTTACCAAATTTGGAATCCACTGGCTTTAGCTAACCCATTCATGCTTGGCTACCATTTTCCTTGTCTTTTATATCCTAATTCTATCTCCCTCTCATTTTAGCTCTGCTTTCTGTATGATTTTTCAGCTAGAAGGAGGTTTTCCTAAGAATAATATATAAGACATCCCCAAAAGCTTGACTCTGTAGTTCAGTCATGAACTCCACAGTCTCCTGAGTGGTCACCAATATCAAGCCAACAGGCTGACAATTTTAAACAAACTCACCAAAATAAGTAGTTGTTCCATCGTTAGGTATTAAACTTTCAGTCCCTGCCAAAGATTCTGCAGCTGACATGTTGAAGGGGGCAGAGGAAGGTAAGTTAGGCATTTTCGTTAAGTCAACAATTTCAGGAAATGAAACACCAGACTCATCTAGAAAACCTGAAGGAGGAATCAACAATGTTCCTTTAAACACAGTATGAAACTCTAGACCATCAAGAAAAATGACACCCAGATTCCTGGAATCAGTGGATTTTCCCCCTCCTGTACACAGCCTTCTCCCTCCTCCCCCCTGAATAATTGCAAGCAATAGAGCTATTAAAGCACCAAGAAAGAATTCACAGAAGGTACCATTCTGATATAGGGCTTGCTCCAAAGTCCCCTGAAGTCAATGTAGAAACTCCCATTGATTTCAGTGGATTTTGGATCAGGCCCATAATCAACACCTGAGTGTTAAAAGTTCTGCCAGATTTCTAGTAAGAACATCAAAGGCCACGCTTATTCTAGATTTAAATAAAAAATGGTGGACTGGAGGCTAGGGGAAGTGAGAATTAAACTGCAATTACAAATGTAACTGTATGTACTGAAGAGGAATAACTGAAGTGCTTACCTGGATCCATAACTCTCTGGACAGGAGGAGGAGGAGGAGGGAGAAGTGCGTTTTCCATTGAATACATATTCATTTCTTGACCCGTGGATTCATCCAAGTTCATAACTTCTTCAGAGCTGTCCCTTTGGGAATTAGGTGCCAACAATGGAGCCTAAAATAACAGAGAAGGTTCCGGTTTGTACCATCTCTGGTCAATCTGACAAAGGCCTGTCACTGTGAATGCTCTGCCCCACTGTTCCCAAAAACAAATTCAGGGGGTGTCAGCTTGAGCATCCCAGCAGCTCTAACTGCTGAGTGATAAAAGAGGAGAGCGATGGGTTCCAACATGCCCCAAAACCATAAAGGGCATTAAATAATCATGATCAGCACCTTGGATTGGGTTTAGAAACCAACTGGAAGCCAGTGTATTCTCTGGAGAACTGGTATAATATGTAGCACACAAGATGCATTGCTAAGTGGGCTGAAACTTCTGACAGAATGGTCTTCAGGGGTAGACCCATGTGAAGCACATTAGCCTCAGTCAGATCGATAACTGGTTATGTTTATACACATAAAGAAAGCTCGCAATCTCTTCACCAACTGCAGATGAAACATGAAGTATTCATAGTACGGTGAATCTAAGAGGATCTCAGCTTGCAATCTTGAGTGATAAAAGGCACAGCTCGATGGAATCTCCTCTGTTGTCATATTCCCCATTCTAGTAGTATCACCTCTCATTTGGCTCTGCCTTCACCAAGCCTACTTTTACTCAAGCCTTTAGCTCATGGAACCTCACCTGTTAGACATTCATAAAACCCCCAAAATAACCTCAGAAGGTACCCTGCAGATATGAACAAATTTCTTATGTACCTCTATGTAGCCATTTGTAGATGGCACAGGGGATCTGTCTTCCGATGGCAAAGGTGAAGGTGGTTTGATTTCTTCTTGCTTCTTCTTTGGCATAACAGGCTGTGCTGGAATTCTGTGCAAATAGCCATATCCAATACCACATCCTAAACTGCATGAGAAAAGCAAAGTAAAAGAAACCTGATAGACTACAGTGTGCTTTTCTACAGCTGACTTTGTAAGTGTTTTAAGTTAGGAATCTCTAAGCAGAAGCCTGGTAGAGATTTAATTTTCTTAACCTATGGGAAGAAATATGGCATTGCAGGAATTGTAGTCATGACTAAGGCCAGATCCACATTACAAATTTACATCGATGCAGCTCCACTGCTGTAGCACATCTGGTGAAGACACTCTAAGCAGACGGGAGAGAGCTCTCCTGTCGGCTTAATAACTCCACCTCCGCGAGAGGCAGTAGCTATGTCAGCAGGAGATGCTCTCCCGCCGACATAGCACTGTCTACACGGGGGGTGAGAGGGGTGTTAAGGTTGGTATAACTACATCCCTCAGGATGTGGATTTTTCACACAACTGTTATACCCCAATAAGTATGTCGTGTAGACCAAACCTAACTGTTGCAATACTGAGGCCACGAAGTACTTTGCAGTTCAGCTTTAGCCTTGTGTGACTCAAAAACCTCAAGAGCTTCATTTCCACCATCCTTACAAAATACAGGAGCTGAGAGCAGGAAAAACCCCAAATTAATTCCAAATGAGACACTATTGCAGGGCATAAAGGGTCCACTCCTGCAACTACTGAAATCAATGGAAATTTTATCATTGGCTTCAACAGGAGCAGGATTAGACCCACGTTATGCCAAATTCACATTCCACAGCTGCTCTCCATTATTTACAACCTCAGAGCAGAGAAATTTTATGTGAGAATGTTGAGGAAAATAAGACAACTGAAAAGTGGAAAGCTATAACAACTGGTGATGTTATTTTACAGAGGAATTTATTTACAAAACAAACCCTATAATCAGGCAAAGACTAATCACAAATCAATACCTTCCTTCTCCACCCCAGGCTCCATTGGGAGTTACGAATAGCTCTCGGCAGGAATCGGTTTCCGTGTTATACACCATCAGCTTCAATGGCTTCCCCTCATGGGATTCAATCAGTGAGAAGAAATCCTCTGACTGATCACAAAAAGATAGCGTGTTAGCTCTTAAAACAGGTTATTTTATCCCCAGCTCCCCACTTTGCAGATATAAGCAGTTATCAATGAAGAGAAAGATCACACTTCACAGCATATGCACAAAGAACTGCAATAGTTAGATCAAAAAAAAGGAAAACTATGCTCTACCTCCTGAAGTATCTGATCTGATCCAACAATGTAGTCTGTGTGGGGCTGCAGACCAGCTAGAGCTGCAGGGGAAGTGGGTTCTACGTCCTGTAAAAGAATGATACAGGTCACCTGCATTCACAGCTAGATAAACTGTCCAACAATTAGAGTGAAAAATGTAACTCAGGAAAAAATGCAAGGTAAAATGATTTGTGTTTAGATTAGAAAAATATCTGAGAATGCTGCATTTAAGTACAATTCTTTGTACTCTTGAGTACTCAAGATTCATAAAGACCAAACTTAACTTTCATCAGTTCACCACCCAATCCTTGTTTTAATCCAAGTGCAATCTCTCGCTAACCCTCAACAGACATCTCAACAAGAGAAGTCAAAGATTACAAGATGAAACTAACTTTTGTTGGAGACTCTTCCCAGACTCTTTTGGCCTACTCCCTAAACCAATATTGACATTTACTTTAAAAATAAAGCTTTTCTGTCCTCTTCTATCTCCATATTATTTTGATGAAGCTCAGTCAAGCTAAAGAGACCAATCCAATTGGAATGCATTTACTTAGCCAGGAATTCTTTACCTGCCAATAAAGTGACAAACAAGAAAAAAAAAATTCAGCTCCAGAAAGAGGATCTTGGGCTAAGACATTAATAACTGCCTACATTCGTGTTCCCTAGCTCAAAAGAAGTCTCTCTCACTGAAAAATTGCTGAAAAATTATATTTGCTTAGGCAAATACTTAGGACAGTTCCTGTTCTTCTCTTAGCTGACTTCAATGGTGTTAGTGCTTTGGCATGCAAAAATGAATGGAAAATTAAATGTTCCATGTATCGGGAGCACTAAGCTACTAAGTGGATTCTCCAGAGTTTTGAGGCTTCACTCTCTTAACGATAGTCCTATGGTTGTGAGCATATTTTACCGCATCTTTCAGGTTGACAACGACACTCACATTCCCATCCAGAGAATGCTCGTGAAGAAGCTCCTAGCATTTATCAGAACAAGCATTCACTAGGCCCCTAGAAATCAAAGTGGCACATTTTATCTGAAATTAAATGAGAAATGATATCACTGCTTTAAAGCAATGTCAGGGATTTGCCTTCAGGAAATTTACTCCATCGATGATAACTCTGTGAGAAGGGAAACTGACTATGTCAGTGTCCTGCAGAAAGCTTTAAGGCAAAGGTTCTTTAAACTGTGGTACATGTAGGAACTGATAGACTGCCTTCTTACAGTGTGTCTCCTTTAAGGGGTTGTGGGACCTAGAGCTGACCAATCTGTGTTCTATAGAATGGCCCCTTTAAGGAAACAGGAATTCAATGAAGCAGTAGGTTACCTGGTGTTAATCAGGTAGCTACCTCCTTAAAAGAATAAAACCCAGCTGATAGGTGACTCCCAGGAAAAAAGACAGACTGGAGAGGGAATTACAGGGGAGTATCAAGTCAGGAGAGATGTTCCCTGGGGTGCAAACCAGAACAGAGACTGGTGGGCTGGGGAAGCCAGCCTGAATTACAGCCCAGCCCCAGGAAGGAGGGCTGAGGAGCCCTGGAACCAAGGAGAAGAAGTGTGTGAGTCCAAGGATCAAGGGAGGCTCCATGGAATCAGAACATAAGAATTGCTATACTGGGTCAGACCAATGGTCCACCTAGCCCAGTATCCTGCATTCTGACAGTAGCCAGTACCAGAGTTTCAGGGAGAGTGTACAGAACAGGGCAGTTAGAGTGATCCACCCTGTCTTCCCCTCCTGTCTTCTAGCAGACAGATTTAGGGTCATCTGGGGTTGCATCCCTGACCATCCTAATAGCTATTAATGGACCTGTCCTCCGTAAAATTATCTAGTACTTTTTGAACCCAGCTATACTTTTGTCCATCACAACATCTCATGGCAACGAGTTCCACAGGTTAATTGTGCATTGTGTGAAAGAGAATGGAGCAAGAACTTGGATTCTGGTGGCCTGGGCTGGCGAAACCTGCTTGAATCACAGCACAGACCCATGAAAGGTCTGAGGAATCCCTTAATCAAGAGAAAAGAGTTGTGAGTCCAGGGGCTGAGGCAGGAGGAGTCCTGTGGGAAAGACTCTCCAGAGGCCAGGGGATGCAGTGGGAGTGGCAGAACTCCCTGGCTCAGAGGAAACAGGAAGGACACTGGCAACAAGGGTGAGTTGGTCCTGCTTTGAGCAGAGGGTTGGACTAGATGACCTCCTGAGGTCTCTTCCAATCCTAATTTTCTATGACTCTATGAATTGAAGCTGCCTGGTGCCCAAGTTACACAACCTCCCTCCCCACCGACCCATGCAGGAAATGTTTTTTCTGTCTCATGAAACTTCTGCATCAGGACAAAATGGAGACATAAATTTTTCCACCTGGGGAAAAGAAGCATGTGTGTGTGTGTGTGTGTGTGTGTGTGTGTGTATGTGTGTTTTCGTTCTGAAGCAGGCACAGCAAGGACTTGAATCCATGTCTCTTAAAGCTGGCATGTTCCAGTTTCAGTTGAAAAATTCCCACCCTGCTTTAAACATCATGTCCTCTAACCTTCCCACCTAGATTTTCCCAACCAGACTCCCTTCTCTTCTTACTCCCATAAGCAGAACTCCACCAGCCAAATTCAAAAATTATTTTACTCTGAGTCCATAAATATTTAAGTTAAGCCTATTAAAGCCTAAAATAAATATGCACAAAAAGGAGAAATATGCATGAGGTACTTTAAACATTAAGAACATTTGGGAACTGCTGCATTAAGGCACCAAGTTTATATGCTGAATTGTTTTCATAAAGTAAGTTGTTCTTCAAATGAGTGCACATATCCATTCCACTTCAAGCATGTGTGTGCCCAGTGAACCTGGGCTGGCCTACACTGGTGCACTGGGTGTGCGCACACCTGGAGTGGAAAGGACATGCACAACACATCTCGAAGAACAAGTGACAGAACAGGCCAGTAGCCATTTTTACTAAGCTAAAGCACACAGCCTGAGTACACAGATGTTTCTCTTGCTCACCAGAACATGCCACACGTGTTCATGGGCTCCTTGGAAAGTGCAGAACCTCACACTGGCTCCGAGAAGCCCTTGCCCGCCCCACATGTTGCTAGGGATCACCTCCACCTCGCGCACTTTCATCGATTTGATGTTGTACACCTCCAGCTTCACTGCCTTCTCAGCATTTGCCTTCAGCAGATCTTTCAACATGGTGTTTTCTTTATTCTGTGAAACACAGGAAAGGAAAGATTTGTTTCTGACAGTGTCTAGCTGGATCTGGAATGCAAAAACATTAATGAAGAGGCAGAATTTCAATATCTAGAACAAACTAAGGTGGGGACTTAACTTCTACCCTCCATAACAACCCCACCAGCACTACTTCCTTTGGATGCATGAACTAGTGTAACTGATTTTAATCCTGGGTAAGGTTATTCACTACTCGCATCCATCAGTGTTACTCCCGCAACCCCCTTCTTTTGTAATGCTGTTATAACAATTTTGGTCAATTATACTAGTTCTGAACTGTGTCTACATTACAATAAATAGCAATATTTTATATAGTGACCTTGATCTTTTTCCTTACCTCACTAATGCAACAATTTTGGAAGTCTTGAAGTAGAATTCTTAAAATAAATTAGTAGTGACTAGTTATAACAGCTAAATGTTTACTATAGAACAGGGGTAGGCAACCTGTGGCATGCGTGCTGAAGGCGGCACGCAAGCTGATTTTTAGTGGCACTCACACTGCCCGGGTCCTGGCCACTGGTCCGGGGGCTCTGCATTTTAATTTAATTTTAAATGAAGCTTCGTAAACATTTTTAAAACCTTATTTACTTTACATACAACAATAGTTTAATTATATATTATAGACTTATAGAAAGAGACCTTCTAAAAATGTTAAAATGTATGACTGGCACGCAAAACCTTAAATTAGAGTGAATAAATGAAGACTCGACACACCACTTCTGAAAGGTTGCCAACCTCTGCTATAGAAGAACAGATGGGATTTTTAAGAACAGTTTTTAGAAATATCTACCAGAATTTCACTATTTCCACATGGTTAATGCAGTGCTTGGCCCCTCACTGGAAGGAGCCATTGTACTGACTGTTTCCAATAGAAGATCCAGTCTGATGTAGGTAAGACAGACCTAAAAAAACTCAGCTTCTGTCTGAATACAAGAAAGCAAAGGATCTTCAAAATTGCGAGGGATTTATTTAAACTTATTTGTTGATTTTAATGGTAAAACTCATTTTAAAAATAGAATTCTCCCCACAACAGCTTTGAAAGTCTCCTCTTTCCTCAGGCATTCAAACAGGAACTGCATTCCCTGCATGAGACTGGCCACATGGCAGCTTCCCACTTGTTAATGATTCATTTTCATGTTCATATTTAACCAAGTGTTTACATTTGTTTAAACAAGTGTCGAGTTCTAACAACCTAAAAACTGGGACTTTCGTCTGGTGCCAGAAAAACAGCCAGAGGAAATGCCAGAGGATACTCTTCCAGTCTTCAGGGAGTCAAGAGGCATAGAAGATGGGCAACACAGGATCCAAGGGGACAGCTAGAATGTCGCATGGGGAAGATTTTTAAATGTTATTTTAACTTTTATGTAGGCTCAGGTTACAATGCAGTGACTTTGTTAAACAGTTTACTACAGAGGCAGATAGTAGTAGCGACTTATGGAGCTTATAGTACAATGAACTACAACTCCATCTCATAAAGACCCCTGGGTGGAAGGACCAAATAAGCACACCATGGAGTCTGAGTCCTATAAAACAGGGAAGGGAAACAAGAGTAGGAGGCTCTCCTGAGAAGTTATTTTTCTTCATTGTTTTAGAAATATCTGATAGCCTGATCCAAGTTCCATTAAAGTCAAAGGAAAGGCTTCCCTGATTTCAGGAGTTCGATCAGGCCTTGACTAAGGCCTGGGTTTGCCTCATGTTGTTCTTCTGACAGTCACTAGAAAAAACAGGTTTCTATAAAAAACAGCGTAACAAAATAATTCAGGCAAAACCACCCAGTTTCTCTCCTGTTCACAAATCTAGCAAAAATACACAAACATTTTCACTGGTTTCTCTTCTGCTCAAGTGAGGATTGCTCAGTGGAGGAACAGTGATCACTCCTCCAGCATCAGCACATCCATTTACTTCCCAGGGCAAGAAAGATTTCACACCTGTCACTACACTCCACCTGGAAACAACTCTGTCAGAAAAAGCAACAGAGATCTGTTCTTTCGAAACAGGAGTATCTAGGTTCTATCCCTATTGCTGACATCAGGTTTCAAGCAGCTATAAAATATGTAGCCTGGCGGGAAGTGGGAAGTCCAAGGTGATCATAGATTTCTTACAATATTTTTACCCTGCATTTCAGGCTGTAAGAGATGTTCACACCAGCGCTACAGTATTGGATTAGATTTGCTAGTCAAGAAGAGACTAATGAATTCAGAAGAAATGGGGTTGATGGTCTCAATCTAGCTTCCCGTGGACTTGTGTCCACATTGTGAAAAGCAAACACATTTGCATCAGTTGGCACTCTCAGCATGAAGGCCAAGGATGGAATGAGCCTTCAGACCAAACAATAACTTCACCCACAGCTGATCCCTCTGGGTCAGGGTTTCGACACAGTGGCAAGAAAGTGTAGGGAAGCTTGCATGGCTGCCATTCTGACTAAAGACAGCATCAATCTTCCAGAGTCAAGTAGGCCAGCACCTCTTAAGAGCACAAAATTAAAATAAAACAATTCATTACTTCATTGAAAATGACTTGTCTTAAGCCACTTACTAGCCTGGTGTGTCCTATTGTGATGATAAAGTCAAAGAATGGTTCCAACCCGGCCTGCTGAGCTGGAGAGTTTTCTTGAACCTGCAAAATTACACATTTTAAATTACAGTAAGAAAAATCTGTAATAAATATCACCACGTGACAGTGCTGTAAATACCGGATTCAAGAATAAAGTACATTCAGGATTGAACCAAATGTCCCAATTAAGAGTCCTTGGAAGGGTTCTCAGAAATTTGAATTCCCTTTCCTCAATTGTCTGAGCCATGAAATCCATATCTGCCACCTGTGGAACAGTCCTACTAGACAGCAGGTGTCAATTAAACCTCAGCAGGTGAAACTGAGACATTGTATTTTCTACAAGTTTAATGGAACTGTAGCTGACAAAGCACAGGTGTATTCTGGCCAGCATTCTTCTACGGTGCACTCTTTAAACCGAGGGAATGAGAAGATACACCAGGTACTTTCCAGCACTGGATAATGTTTCCTGAAAGTACCTGGTACTATCTGCTGTTTGCAGTGAAACGGTTAACGAAGTGCTGAATACAGTGCTGTACACACTACTAAATGAATCCAGTTCTTTGGCCTGTGTTGAGCAGGTCAGACAAGATGATCTACATTCCTTTTGGTCTTAACATCTATGAATGAAATAACCTTTTTGTAGTATTGATATCTCCACTCACTCAGTGCTTAGGACAACGACATGTTAAGAACTGCAGAACCGACATCAATATGTTTAAGTACTGTTAGCTGTGTGGTGCTTTACAATTGGGTAACATGCCATACAAAGGACAGAAACCCTGCTCTAAGAAACTTATAAACTAAGGCCCTGATTCTGCAACTGGATCCCTGTATCCATGCAGGGACCCACTGAAGGCAAGGGAGTTCTCAACAGGGGTTTATCTGCATGGAGCAGGTTGCAGGATCAGCACCTAAGGGCCACTCCTCCAGCCACTAAAGGTACAGTAACTCCTCACTTAAAGTCATCCCGGTTAACGTTGTTTCGTTGTTACATTGCTGATCAATTAGGGAACATGCTTGTTTAAAGTTGTGTAATGCTCCCTTCCAATGTCGTTTGGCAACCGCCTGTTTTGTCTACTGCTTGCAGTAAGAGCAGCACGTTGCAGCTAGCTGGTGGGGGCTTGGAATGAGGGTGGACAGGCAGCCCCCCTATCAATCAGCTCCCCACTTCCCTAAATTCCCTGTGCAGCAGCTGCCCAGCAGGCTAGCAATTGCAGCTGTCCCCTCCCCCCTCTGCCATGTGCTGCTCCTGCCCTCTGCCTTGAAGCTGCTCCCCGAGACTCCTGCTTGCTGTGCGGGGGGAGAGGGGAGGAAAAGGGGGCTAATGTCAGGGAGAGCCCCGGCCGCGTCAGCCGTGGCCCACTTTTGCCCACCTTCCACAGAGCAGGGGGGGACACAAGACAGGGCTGAGGACGGAGGGAGCTTGCTGGCAGCAGCTGATGTCTCAGCAAGCGGATCTAATTAACAAGGCAGTGTACTTAAAGGGGAAATGCGCATCTCTCTCTCTCACACACACACACACACACACACACACACACACGGTG